TTGACAACTGAGACACTTCCATGAGAAGTAGTAAATGAGCCAAGGAATCCAATTATTAATGATAATATTTTATTTTCTATTACGTATTACTTGATGACGAGGTTTTCATCAAAACCTTGTTTGCTCATATTCATTGTTACAAACTAAATAAATCAAATGCAACAAATATTTTTTACACATATGCCAAGTTTAAATGTATTTTAAAAGTCAAGGGTAACCACTTCAGATCATAAAACACAAAATTCAATTTTTTACTTCCTCACACGTGGATGGAAAGTTCAAATTAATCTTCTATCATTTTTGCTGGTCATGATAAATCTTAGAATAGTTTAAAAAATAAAGTAATTTGTATATTTATATTTTGTGGTCGTCAAAAGACAATACTTTTATTTTACGTTTTCACACTGAGTAAAACCCAGATATCTCTTAAATCACAGCAACATAGTCCTTAAATTATGTTCTGATAGGACACAAATATAGTTACACATAAATATCTTTAAAAATAACATAAACCAAAAAAATCTGCTAATCCAGATAGAATACATTGTCATACATTTAAAGCGGGTAAACACATTATTATAATAATAGTCCACTGTTATAATATTTCAAAAAATATAAAACATAGTATATTTCCTAGTCGAAAGGACAAGAGTAACTCATATACCCACATAAAAATAATGACAAGAATAACAATTATTTGCACCAAAAATACCAATCATCAAATGCACTAGACGCCCCTAAATCCTTTTTATATAGCCGCAGAAATTAAGCCTAGTTAAAGATCATTTAAATAATAGGAGATCTTTGTTGACTACGATCACTCACAGTCGAAATTCAAAAAACTTCAAAAAATTAATAGAATTGTGAAAATTTCCTTTGACATACAGTGCAAAGCAGATAGAGACGACCCAACCTAACCACAGAAGTGAAACCAAAACTATAGGGACTATGACTAGGAAATGAATATTTTAAATTATGAAAAGAAAGAGCTCAGGTACAGAAGATAAGTGCCATTAAATATTATCAAATAACAAAATTTAAATCCATATATTTCAAAATTTTAATGTGTTTCATTGAACGTATAACCTTTTAATTGAAACGATATTTGTTATTAATAAATGGGCAACAATTACCTTCGAGAATTGATTATGACATAGCCAACTTTACTTTCACTTACACAATAAAAGATTAAAATACAAATATTAGAAAATAAGAAGAGCTTCTTAATTCATCGAAGTAAAAAATTACATTTTATTTTTTAAGTAAATTTACTTCTTTCGTATCGAACGTACAACGATTAGAGCAAAGTAATTGAAACGTGAACTGTTGCAACAATTGCATTGTTTTCATTAAATATTTAGAGCAAATCAAACAATTTCTATATTGCTAAATAAAAGTGATTCCATTGTTTTATAATATCTTCCTCACACATGTACTGAAATTGAAGAAATTTAGTAAAATGTAATGGTTTATTAAATTTTGTATTACGTACTGACAAGGAAGCCAGTCTACAGGGTAGGAAAGTACCGATGGTCTATCTGAAGTTACGTGAGAGCGATAAAGTAAGGCATAGAAATCCATGCGATAGAGAAGGATGGCTATAATGAAGGCCTCTCAAAGTCACCGCTCGTTTCGCCCTTCCACAAATAAGATCCACTTCTTATTTGTGGAAGGGCGAAATGGGCGTTGACTATTAGACGCCTTCATTATAGCCATCCTTATCTATCACATGAATTTCTATGGCTTACTTTATCACTCTCACGTAACTTCTGATAGACCATCGGTACTTTCCTACACTGTATATCTGATGACTTTCCTGATGAATGATATTTATTAGATATTGGGAGTGTAATACAGTTTCCCACAATATCATTAGTTAACAACAAAATGCCTCAAAACATACGAAATTCTAATTTTAATATATCCGAGATCGTTTAAAATGTTTGAATTTTTTAACTATTGGATTCTTGAATTTTTAACTATTGATTTTTTAATTACTTTAGTGTAAGTTTTTATGTTATATTGTTATCATATTTTTGTGTTTCATGTGTGTGCTTACAAATAGAGAGAACACTAAATATACTTTGTATATTTAGTGTTCTCTCTATTTGTAAGCGTGTAGTGGTCTACTATTTATCATTGTATAGGTTAGCATTCTGCTAACAAGGTTTTTTTCTCGCTTTGTTATAAAAAATAAACAATAGGCTATTACAGACAAAAAAGAGTACTTAACAGTTGTAAGTAATAAATAAAAAATAAAACAATAAACAAAGACAATTATTTAAATAACAAGATCCAGTCTTCTCTTTTTTATACTAACTTATAAACCGTTTGATGATGTCACCAACATCCAGTTGTATATGTGCGGTGACTGAATAAAAAATAGGGTATCACAAACGAGATACTGCGGTAAATAGTACGTCATAAAATTTCTAAGATCGTATTTAAAAAAATTAAGTTGATGATGGTCCTGGAGAGACGAAACGTTACATACAAAAATTGATTATGCCATTCGATAGAGGGGAAAAAGTGGCCATGGACAAATGTCACCTCAAACAAGGTGTTAGATATTACTGCGATTTTTTGAGAAATCAGTACAATAATGCTATGGAACAAGAGAAATATATATTTTATCGTCAGCGCTTCAGTCTTGTAAAGCATAATGCTAAAATGCTCTGGAGGGAACTGAAAAAGACTGATCTTATTTGTTATAAGAATGTTGGTGCCATCTCAAAAAATATTATGGATCCAGATGCTATTAATGATTATTTTTTAGACTCTATCCCTAATATTACTGCTAATGATGGATATGTCCAATGTTTTTACACCTGTGCTTTGTCAACTACCATCTTTGGATATTTACCTGTTTCTGTTAATGAAATTGAATGTTTGATTTATAAACAAAAACGGCATATACTGGGTTTGATAGTAGGTAGTATGTTACAAATATATACGCCTGTGATTGCTTTTCCTCTTACACATATAATTAATTAATCTTTTGAAACTGGAGTTCTTCCATATCAATGGAAAACATCAATTGTTACCCTTATTCCTAAGAAATCGCATGCTAAATGCAGATTTACGATCTATAAGTTTGTTGTCAGTTCCCCTTAAAATAGCGGAACGAATTATTTATAATCGGCTCATCACACAATTCTAATAATGTTCTAGCTTCTAACCAATCAGGATTTCGTAAAATTTTTAATACAGGAACGGTACTTGCGGCTGTGGCTGATGATGCTTTACGGGCTATCGACTCTTCTAGGGTATTAAGCCTCACGCTTTTAGATATGCGAAAAGCATTTGACTGAATAGATTTTAGCTGCCTATTGGCCCAAACTATCTTTCTATGGAATTCATTATAAATGTCATGATTGATTTGATTCCTATATTAAAGACAGAATGCAACGTACTAAAATTAAAACTGAAAACGGTCCTTTATTTTCTGAACCTAGAATAATAAAATCTGGAGTGCCACAAGGCTGTGTCCTGGGGCCTCTACTTTTTAGTATATGTACTGCGGATTTTGTATCGTCAGTAGGGTACACTTTGCGTATGTACTTACAAATACATACGCAAAGCGAAATCGAGAATAAGCAAACTGCTGTTGATCTTATTAATTCTGACTTGCATCGGATTAAAGAGTTATGCGAAAAATGCTCTAAACTTAACCCAAATAAATGTAAAAACCTGGTTACTGGTACTTATCAAAAGCTAGACAGTTGGGGGATTTTGCTGTTTTGGAAAACTGTAGTTCAGTAAAGTCTTGTATTTGAAAATGACCTGAAATTCTCACAACATATTAGTGAGTTATGTAAGAGTTATGTTCATCTCCTTTAAGCAAAAACCTCTTTAAAACGCTATTTGAGCTCTGATATTAAATTAATATTGGTTGAATCCTTAGTTTTGTCTCATCTGAATTATTGTGATTATGTTTATGGTCCTTTACTTACAAATGCTGATAAAAAGCTGCAAAAAAATCAAAATTGGTTCATGCCTTTTGTCACATATAGATATACCCTTTTTTCAACATTTTCCTTCTTTTTTTAGACAGTTTGGTACATTAAGACTCACTGAAAGACGTTATTCATTCTTGTGTGTTTTTTTAAATAATATACTGTGTCCTGACTATCGTTATGAGAAGTTGGTTTGGCGGCATGATGTAACATGATCGTCAGCTTCGTAATTTACATGATTTGCAAATAATGCGTCATCGAATTGAGTATTTCAGATGTTCATTTACTTATTTAACAGCTACGGTATTAAATAATGTACTGGTGCCTCAGGACTTAACACTCCGTAATGCTCCTCTGGTTAAGAAACGGATTCGTGAGTTGGTCATGGAAAACGATAACTCCACAAATGCTGCTGTTTTCTAGTTTTTTAGTTGTATTAATATAATATGCATATGTGTCTGAGTATACTATGTATTTGCATAGGCATGAGTGTTGTGTATGTATATTTATAAGTTATATTGTTTTTTTTACATTGTTTTAATAGCTCTTTATATTGCATTTTTGACTTGACTTGTTTATGGCTACAACAAGTAGAAGTATCTAGCCATATTAAAACGGAATAGGTATGCCGATAGGCCGACTGCAACAGCAAAGGGACTTGAATAATGATAATCAATAATTTCGCTATAAATTTAATAAACTCTTGTTTCATCTAAAATGGTTCAAACAGGTTTTAACCTCTTACTTGCTGCAGGCACAATAGGTAATTTACAAAATCGTTAAAAATTCTAGAACTCAATGCATCACGCAATAAGCAAATACCTTTACGGCCCAACAACGTACCTAATCAGTCACAAAAATGCAGCTTGACCAAATTCATCCTATTATTGAGATGCAGATGCACAGTGGCAACGTTACTAGCACTGGAACTCATTCTCTGAACATTTTAGGTGTTCATTTTATTCATATGAATGTAACAAAATTTCACATCCATTTTTTCACATTAGCTACGTTTTTTACATCAATTTCTTTATGTATGTGCAGGTGGGCATGGTACGTTCTCGAACTTGATCAACAACATGGTACACGTTGTTATGTACTTCTATTACATGGTAGCAGCAATGGGGCCAGAATACCAAAAATACCTTTGGTGGAAAAAGCATTTAACCACCCTTCAGCTGGTAAGTATAAAAAATCATCAAATGTTTCAAAGAAAGTAGGATATAATAATAATTGTACTTTATTGTCAGCTATCATATTTTTACAGTATTTTAAAGGTATAATGCACATGACACGTTCATTTGACATATTTGGCAAAACCCTACTTGAAATAAAATACAACAATTTTGAAAAACGAGCAAATTTTAGCACTACTTATAACAGCATCTTTTTTGTTTAAAATAAAATTTGCCATAAAAGCAAGTGACTAAAGGTGCAAAAAGATTAACCTCAAAAAAGTTACTTCCTAAAATGTTCCCGCGGAGGACTGCACTGAACGCCTTGTATGATATAGCCAAAAATTAATAACTCCAGAGCATTTAGCATCTCCAGAACCCCACCATAACAAAATTTCAGTTCATTCGGTCTAATTTTGTGGAAGATATGACCAAAACTAGGTTTTAAAAAATTATTTTCAACGCCCTGTATCTTGAAAACGGAAAAAGATACGCCCATGGTTCATAGGAACAAATTGTAATATTTTTTGAAATTCTGTCAGATCCTGAATGTATGCTAGTGTTTTTCAGAACACCCTGTATAGAATACTAGATTTACAACTATATGACAATTATGAATATTCCGTGTTCATGGTATTTGGTATTCGGATTCATGAATACAAAATATTTAGTATTTATTAGCCTAGCATTGACGTGTTTAATACTGCATTCATTATGAAAATATTCTGAAATTCATTAACAAATACTTAAATATTTTTTATTCATCTATGGTTTAAAGACAAATTTTAACGAATATCGGCAATATTTTAGTATTTATTTTCACTTAACAGTACCTTACCGGCAATGTTATAACTTTGAGATGTTTATATCACTAATCTCTCTTTTCTTTTTAGCTCCAGTTCACTCTTGTATTCATCCATTCTGCCCAGCTGCTCTGGATGGAGTGCGGGTACCCAAAATTCATTGGAGCTCTGCTGCTGCTCCATTCTACCATTTTCTTCGCGTTGTTTTCTCATTTCTACTACCAAACATACAACAAGAGCTTAAAACCAAAACATATAAAAGCGGAATAAGTTCGTTTTAGGTTACATTCGTATTTATTATTTGAAGCATTTCCTAGCTGAATTTGATTTAAATACCTCACGGCCTGCATTTCTCACAACAGTCATTCTTTTTAATTGTCAGTTACCAATAAGGTAATTTCTTCTAAATTGAAATATATAAACGTACACCTAAATAGAACAAAATGTATTTTGAAATGAAAAGAATTCGATAATGGTTTTTTATCTCTCGGTGACTGTTTTTTCTCGTTTGAACACTTATTCTGGGATATCCCTTACCATTAACAGAAAAATATATTTTTATTTATTCCAGTAATTTAAAAATAAAGGAATCACGCTGATGTTGAAAGCAGGCCTTATAACGTACAAATAGACAGATTAATGATGTGTTCAAAGAAAGATTCGTGGTGGTTGTTAAGTGAAAAATGATATTTATTTTTATAAATATAAACATCCACCTCGGATTTTATAAATTGTCAGTTAAAGCGACTGTGATTGCGACGGATTTTAAATGAAATTTTGCTGAAATGCCAAATACGTGTCATATTTATGGTGCACATTCTAAAATTTTCACCTATATTATACGATTTGAAAAATATTATTAATAATATAGGGTGATTGATATATTTGTTTTAAACTCGTAAGCCCAATTAAACGTTATTTATTTTAAATACTATCATAAAAAAAATCTGCTCATACTATGAATCCAAATTATAAAAAATAAACTAAAATTCAGGTGTAGTACAAATTATTATTATTATTAACAACAATATAACAAGTGTACGTAGAATCTACTAAACAATTACCTATTTCTAAAGGTTTTCAATTGAATGTTATTTAATTCATTCTTTATATTAGATTGAAGATAATGTACACTTGTACATTATTTTCCATGTGATGGTATTTACAGGATGTGGTGCAAACTCTCTCCCGTTTTCAATAAATGTTTCTAATTGTTTCACCTACCAGTTCACCACTTTGTGCCAAAATCGGGAAGGTAGATTTAGTAACAGTGGTGGTAAAATGTGAAGGTTTTTTTAACCTCATATTGGCTGGTGCGACTGAAGAGGAGTATATGTAAAAAATAGTGGAAATCGAGTTATCTACACCAATTGTGCTGAAATGTTAATACAATTGTTTGGGAAAAGGGATATAACTCTAAATACATTGCAAGTTTAAGTTTTGCTTCGCGCCAAAGGACATAAATGACATTTCAAAAGTGACAAATGATATATCCCACATATCCCACCCAATCCCTACCCACTAAATATAAATATATCTACACTTTTTTCTGTTATTTCTTGCTTTGTTAAAAAGACTATATGATACTTCAACAATTACTAAATAATCTAACTAAATAGTGCAAATATGATGATTATCAACTGGTGGCGAAAATACTGAACCATAACATTAACAGCGATTTGCTCAAAACAAACTTTTTTCACTTATGCCCCTTTTCACGAGCACCAGCCAATTTATTTCTAGGGGCAATCCATATTCCCTTTTTATTTTAAATGGCGGCGTATGTAAAATGTCATGTGGAAACAGAAAATGGAGTAGGAAAGTAACTCTAGTTGCATTCAATAGTGTTTTTTAAAATTTCAGATTTTTGGATATTGTGATCTGAAGAATACTTATTGTTACTAGTATCACTGACCTTAAATATTTATTTTCAAAATTATGTATTAGGTATAAACCTATAAGATGTCTCAGCAGATGTTTTTCTTAGTTGCGAAGATATTCGACGTTATTCATATAGATGGTGTTTCAGAGGGTGATAGTACGACGAAAAATATGAATTTTTTGCTGTATGAACTATATGTCTATCTCCTCTTGTTTTCGAGATACAGAGCGATAAAATAAAATTTTTAAATAGAATTTTTACGAAAATTTCCAAACGGTGCGAAATATTTTTATGAAATTCTGGGGTTTTTAAGGACGCCAAATACGCTGGTCTAATTATTTTTTGGATATTTCATGGAGGGCGCTAGTTATGCTACATTCCTATTACATTTTAGGTTCTAATTTTTTTAAGGTTAGGTTTTTTACCATTCGGGCTCCAATTTCTAATGTACAATATTATTTTCTAAAAATAACATACTCTTGTTAGAACTTCCTAATGTGGACGGTGTTCGAGAAAAAAGGCTTTTAATTGAACTCTTACGATATTACGATGAAGAAAATATGTGACTTTTCTCAAAATAGGCTTATGTCAAAACTTATTGATAGATGTCTCATAAACAACTCGTACATTCTCAGTAATATTTTAAACTCAAATTAACTTTATGTCAAAATTTGAGTGATTGTTAGTGACTGTAGTTTAGTAATGACTAATTAGTCACTAAAATGTTGATATAAAGTTAATTAGAGTTTAAAATATTACTGAGAATGTATGCGCTGTTTATGAGACATCCATCAATAAGTTTTGACATAAGCCTACTTTGAGAAAAGTCACTTATTTTCTACAACGTAATATTGTAAAAATTCAATTAAAAGCCTTTTTTCTCGAAAACCGTCCACATTAGGAAGCTCTAACAAGAGTAAATTATTTTTAGAAAATAAAATTGTACATTAGAAATTGGAGCCCGAAAAAACTAACCTCAAAAAAATTTGACCTTAAGATGTAATACGAATGTAGCGCCCTCTATAAAATATACAAAAAATAATTAGACCAGCGTATTTGGCGTCCTTAAAAACCCCGGAATACCAAATTTCATAAAAATATTTCGCACCGTTTGGAAATTTTCGTAAAAATTCTATTTAAAAAATTTTATTTTGTCGCTCTGTATCTCGAAAACTAGAGGAGACAGACATATAGTTCAAAAGACAAAAAATTCTTATTTTTTGTCATACTATCACTCTCTGAATTTAGGGGAGGTCTTTCTGAAACACCCTGTATAATTTGCGGTCTTCAACAAATGAATGATAATCACCGATATTTCTTTAATGTGTTTCTCCGACATTTTCTCCAAAATTTTCTTTTTCTTAATACAATATGTATAATTGTTTTCCTGAAGGCATTCTCGAATTTTACATTACTTTTACATATTCTTCAATTTATTTCGTTCCAATATTTTAATAACAAAAAATTAAATGGTAGTAAAAACGGAAATATGCATCGCCCTTTACAAAAGAGCCGTTAGGTGAAGTGAAACTCAGTCTTCTCGTATTTTATACCTCATCTGTGCAATTAAGTAGAATGTATAGTATTTTAGTTTTAGGTGAACGTAGCAGTAGAAGATAAGTTGTACAGAATATTTTAACCTAGTCATAGATGTCTGTTTCAGAAACAGATGTAATTTCCAAAAAGGCCTCTAAATCGACGAGGATAATGTTATCTTTATTTTATTAGGTATTAAAACTAATTACTTAGGATGGATATAAGACAAACTCAACAGTTTGATGGTGTTAACATTGGGTTATGGTGTATTTTTTCCAAAAAAAATTGCATATATTCAAAAAGCAACAGTATCTAAATATTTACAACTTATAATTATATTATAACGGTATCAATTTAAAGAAATATTGTTAATGACCGTTATCTTCTATATTTCTTTACAAAAACGAAATATCATAATGTCAATATGAATTTACATACAAATAATGCAACTCAATGCTATTTTACGAGTCTAATCTGATGTATCTAACATGCAAATTTCATGATAACAACTTTAAAGTCTCATTTCTAATATCATGACAATGTCAAGGTTTGGAAAAAAAGCATCAGCTTTGATTATTATGTTGCACAAAATGGTAAACAGAATTTAAATAAGTTAAATGTTGATTCTTTCAAACTAAATTAAAAAGTATGTATAGGGGCCTCTGTTGTTTAGGTAGCACAGGCTCACAAAACAAAACAATTGTCTGCGCTGTTAAGCAGATCATGTTATTCTTACATAGACTGAATCTAACCTACGTTTTAAACCACGTCAGGATTTTTTATAAATAGTTAATGTATATATCTTGAAAAGTCCACAATAGTGAGTTATGATGTTATGGAGGTTAACCTTAGGAGGCTTAAAGATTATGGAGTTTGTATGAAAAGCCCATTTTACTGTCTATAGTCGAATGGTTTGACGTTGAATAGGTGTAAGACCCACTATTGAGGACTTTTCAAAATATATAAATTAACGATTTATACAAATAATCTTGACATATGCGATTAGAACAGAGGTCAGATTCAGATTCAATGGTCCGGCGCACTCAATTATATTTTTTTTGGGCCTGTGTAGTCTATAGGGTGTCTAAATATTATTATATACATAAAGTTTGAATATTACGCTTTACCCTTTAAATATACTTGTGAAAATATGTATTCAATGAATGCGTTTCCCACTGTAAGTATATTTTTATAACGTATCCAAATAATTATTAAATTATGTAATGTATAATGTATTAGAAAAAATTATATTTGCTCAATATTTTATATTTTTGAATAAATAAATATATATTTAATATTTTGCATTATTAGTGTTAATTACCAAACTGGTTACTACGTGTATAATGAGATCCTTTCTAAACATTAAATAGATTCGTTTATAACCAAAAACATGGCTATGTGAATAAGAACAAATAAGTGAATTATCTAATAAGATTTCTATACAGGGTGGTCCGTTTTTTATGGCTCAAAAAGGTGGGCCTTTTCAGGGTCATTAAAATAAACCAAACAGATCAAAGATATCTGCTGCCGTTCCTCAAATACTGTGAAAAAATTGAAAATAGCGATTTTACAAAATGCCAAATAGCGTCTTTATTTCACAACAGAAAGAGCTGAAATTTGGTACTGGGTGATAAGAGGAATTCATTTTCGTCGCAAGAAAATTTCTACGGCCACTAGTTTCATTTATGCAACATTCAACTGTTTTTTTTTCTTATGGGCGCCATATTGGATCTTAACAGTAACAGATAAAAGAATTTTATTTGAAGAATAACCCATAAATTGAATAATTTATTTAAAAAATTAATAAAATCTAGTTAGACAGACGCCAAAGAATTTTTGCTGGTTTTAGGTCCATTTAAGCACAAAATATTCAAAACGCTGTAGACAAAATTAGATTGAGGTCTGAGCTTTGTCTGCACGAAAATGGACAACACTTTGAATATTTCTGTAGGATTTGTAGAATATTTGTGTATTTTGCTTTATTGTGTATTGATTTTTGTTTTATGTCAAGAACAAGATTCTTTCTAAATTTGAGCCACCCTGTATATCTTACGGTTTCCAAGATGCCAATGTTGAGCCATGAAAAACGGACCACCCTATAGAGGAAAAAAACGGCCTTAGTCAAATAATCAGATAACTTTATAGGTGTCTGACTAAAATTTAAAATGGACTTTTATTATTTTACATAAAAAAACCTTTATTAACCTCCCAGTCGTTTTTCCGAAATACAGTGTGTGAAAATTCAAAAAAATATAATCAAATGAGGTTTATATTTACTTGAAAATACATACAGTGTGTATTACTACAGCAGCTCATAAAAAAATATAGCAATTTGCAATATCTTGTACATACGTGTCTCACAATGTGTCAAAAAGAAAGAAAATTTATGTTTTTCAATTGACAGTATATACAGAGTGTAGTGCTGGTAACACCAAAGGCACTGTCGCTAAGAAATTCAGAATTTCAACGCCACTGAATTGAATAAATGCATTCAGT